AAATATAAAAACTGCTAATCTTTCATTTAAACAACAATTATTAAATTTACAGTTTATTGTTCCTATTTTAGTTAAATTTTGTTTCACAATGTCAAAACTATATGACTTAAAAATTATGAAGAATTTTAAACTAATGTACAAGGATTAAGGTGGAATAAAAAAATTGCACTTGGCACATTAAACATTACATTAGTTAGATGATCTTGTATTGTGAAAGCACCAATTGAGCAACAGTGTGATTACAGAGTTAAAGGATTATTTAGGATAAACCTTTGTTTTGCCTCCAAATTCTAAGTTTTCATAAGGCAACATTTTAAAAAGTTTTTATATCGTATGCACAAATAGGTGATAACTTAGTCGATGATATCTGCCATACGCCTTGAACTAAAAAATCAAAATTAATTAACTATAAATGATCCGAAAATTATACAAATAAGCTGAGTAACCAGCAACAACTCTGAAATGCTCGTTTCTGAGAAAATCGTTTTAAAATGCCTGTTACTTGTCTTTTTTAAATAGAATAGACAAGATTTAGGAGGAATTGATGCTTAACAACTAATTAGTTACCGGATAAAATTAAATTTTTATTTTCAAGTACCTTTATTTTAATTACTAGGTGGCTCCATCCTCTGGTCGTTTTGCTCACCTACCCCCATAAATGCTTCTCTTTCAACCTTTAGTACTTTACTTTAGTACTTTATTTATTATTTAATTAGTACTTTATTTTTTTTCTTAAACGTCAATATTTTCCTGAAAAACACAGATATTTTTTTCCTTCAAAATATACAATTATTGTAGCTTTATGCAAACACAATTTGCTGATATATGAAATAATGATGAAATAGGCAATTACCTAGATTTAAATATAATCATCTGCATTTGAGAAAAAAATCAAACTAAGGAATACACATTTGGTAACGCAATAAGAATAAATAAATACTTCAAAATTTTATATCCGTCGTTGAACAGCTGACCCAATTTAATATCACTAATATTCAACTCCATAGCCTTGTAAATTTGAATCTAGTCCAGAAGACAAGGGAACTCCTATATTAAGTATTGTGAGAAATTTGCCTCTATGGAGGACTTTTTGAATTAGCTAACCGGCATTTGCTAGGATTGGACAAGAACACTATGAAAACCTTCCAAGGTGAACCAGGCGGCTAGGGGACTCTAACTCATGATCCGTCTACCGCTGAGGATATTTTACGTCAGCACTGTGGTCGGTTCAAGCCGGATGGGGCATTCGTATCGAACAACCATTGCTGGGACTTGAACCCGGTTCACCTCATTGGAAAGCGAACGCTCTGTCCCCTGAGCCATTACGGCTCGAAAAAATAACTAAAAGTAATTTTACTCCAGACAAGACTTACAATAATTTAAATAGGGATATGGTTTCATTTCTCTTTATTTGCCTACTGCGCCTGATAGCACCTGCTATTATGGATCATCAGTTGTAAAAGCCGTAAGCAAAAGCTAAGTTCTTAATTTTAAAAATTTCAATATGAATGTTCAAAGAGTTATACCAGACACCATGTAACCTCTCTCTCTTTCTTTTTGTTAGTGGTACTTTTGATTGACTTCTACTCGGACAAGGAAATAAAGAAATAATAAAGTTTTGTAGCGTGCAAAGTTTTGCAGTGTTTTGTAGTTTTATAGTGTGTTGAACAATAATGGATAAATCGGCAATATACAAAGAAAAAAAGCTGAACAAAATCACAAAAAAAATCTTTAAATTGCAATAACTTTCAAAAAATTGGAATTCAGAAAAGAAAAATAAACTTGCTAATATGGAATTTCTAAAATGGTACTACAAATCTACAAATATGTCTTTTTCAGAAAGGGAAATTTCAACGGTCTAGTTGCATTTCAGCGGGTGGTAAAACTGTCAACTTGATTTTTTTTTCTTTCTGAAAGTTTAGCAGTTAAAACTCTCGAACTTATATTGGAATCTTTCAATTTTTTATTGTATCCAATTTTTTCGTAAATATTTTTATGCATGCCTTTGTAATTTCAAGTCTTTAAGGTTTATAGTTTCTGCAGAACAAAATAAAATGCAACATAAATAAAAACTAAGCTAGAAAAATTCCGCAAAAAACAATCGCAATAGCTTTTAAATAAGTTAGAATTTCACAAAAAAAAAAGAAAATTATAAACAAATATGTCCTTTTCAGGCATGCCAAATTTAAACTCTTTATTTGCAGTCTATAGAACGGATCAGAAGGTATTTTTTCATACAGGTTCATACAGGTGAGACACCCTGTATGTCATTTAAAAAATAATTTCTTTTACATCATCATTCATCTGGAAGTTATTAACAGTTACTTTGCTTGTGATTACCTAACTCATGAAATCAAAGAAAATTCACAAGAACGTACGCTAAGATCAAATAATTTATTAGAGCTAGAAGAAGTAAATCGCCTTATTATTATTATTATTTAATGGCAGGCACTTGGAACTATTGTCCATTGGCCACAGAAAGTGCCAGAACGGCTAACTCTCTTTTCGTTACCCAGTGGGCACCTGTGGCGGGGTCACGGTGGTGGAGCAGTGTCGCCCACGTCACACTACCACAACCCGTTTATAGGGCGGGTCGCATTCGCACATTCACACACAAAGGAGAAAGGACATAGAACACATATAGAGAGAAAGAAACATCCATGCCTTGCCCGGGATTCGAACCCAGAACCTTTCTGATGCAGGGACAGTTCCCTGCCCCCTACACAGGCCGGTCGGCAAATCGCCTCCTTATAAAGCATCTCGTTTCATTTCGTTATATTTAAAACCGGTGTTAATCAGCCTACCCAATTCTGAGTTCACGACAATCAATGTTTACGTCTTGTAATTTTGAATGTAATTCAGAAGAAAAGGAAACTCCTGGATCAAGCGTTGGGACAAACTAATCTAGGAGGAGGACTTTTTGATGGAACTACCCAGCATTTACTCTGCCCTGGAGAGGTTAACCACAAAAAATCTTTCACGGTTAATCCGGCTGTAAGGGGATTCTACTCCATAATCCGTCTACCACAGAGAATATTTTATGTCGGCCCTGTGGTCGGTGCAAGCTGGGAGCAGAATTCGAATCGAAAAGCCATCGCTGGGATTCGAATTTGGGAAGCATGATAAAAAAAGCGAGAGCCTTATCCCATGAGCCACCACCAGTCATTATTCTAAATCATTTTATAACTATTGTTGAACTGTCGACCCACTTTTTGGTTAACGACTATCAGTGTTAAATTTCGTAGTTTGCAATTTTGAACTCAATCGAGAAGATAAAGAACTCGTGGGAGTATTGGGAAAATATTCCTCCACGGGGGACTTTTTGATGGAATTACGCAGCGTTTTATGGTGGGAAAAACCTGCCACGGTTGTCTAACAGCAAGGGAACTCTAAACAACGACCTGTCTGCCACTGAGAATGTTTTATGTTAGCACTGTGATCGGTGCTAGCCGGGTGCGGAATTCGAATCGAAAAGCCATCGTTGGGATTTGAGCCGGGGTTTACTCATTGGGAGCGTTCTGTCCTCTGAGCCATCACGGCTCATTCTAAAATATTTATCAAGTCTTAAGCAACTCGTAAGCAATTCTTTTGGGTTCAACTTGCGAAGATTAGACGTAGTTTTAAAGTAGATAGTTGTGTCCACCGTGTTTTTGAACATATTTACATCAAATTTGGTGCGGATTGCTTCAGAATTACGGAATCGGATATTCGGAATCATACACACATACATACATATAAACATTCTACGTTATTCATACAGATATGTAATTCGAGTTGCAAAAATATCGTGATGGATGCAAAAAGCTTGTAAAAATTTATTTATTTTGACTTTGTTACCAACTTTACATCCAAATATGTTTTAGATTTTCTTTCAGAGGAATTCAGTCTTATTGTTCGGTACTACTTCAAAAAGCTTTCTCTCTGATTTTTATTATTTCTTTAACCTCGGCATATTTCGTTCCTGATATTTGAAGTGGTAGAAATTTTATGACTTAATAAAATTGATTGCGAATGATTTTAACCACGGCTATACGCAAGCAATTTAATCAAATATATGAGACTTGTGATGTTGGTTGTGAAGTTTTTAAATGTTAGCAAAAACTCAAAATAAGATTGACTTAATTGACATTTCGCGGCCGGGATAGCCTGGTCGGTAGGGCGCTGGGCCCATATCCAAGAGGTCGTGGGTTCGATCCTCGCCGGCCGAAGACTCCCCGTGTAGTAAATGGTGACTGATGCACGTTAAATCTGTCGAGTCTCAAAGTCCTCCATGTTCCCACAACAAATCAGTACCTCTGGGGGTACTGATCCAGGAGTTCTCTTGTCTTCTGGATTGGTTCAAAATTACAAGGCTACGGAGTTGAACGTAAGTAGTCGTAAATCCATGAAATTGGGTCGGCTGTTAAACGACGGTTGTAAAAAAAAAAAATTGACATTTCGCAAAATCTTTAGAAAAAGGAAAGTTCCTGTTACTTTCAGGTTGAGATATGTGCATGATGTATTTTAACTCTAGAAAACATTTCTCCTTTCTGTTAGATGGGATTTTTGTACGGATCTTAGATATTTTCACAACGCTGATTTCGAATCTGAAAATCAGTTCTTCTCTGCAAGTTAGAGTTTTCATGCAATATTATAATTTATTCATCTACTGGAATTTGATAATTCACTCGTACATTCGGGAGAAAAAAAACTAAACTATTCTAAAAGAATCATTTTGAAAAAAAATCTGCCGTATTTAGAAATAAAACAAATTACAGATTTTAAATTCCCACACCCAAATCAGGTAAAATTACGCAATGCAAAAAATTTGTTTTCCAATATTATAGCCCAATTTGTGTATTATTATACAATATAATTTCGGTTAATGGAAAAACTTTATATTTGATAGGATAGATGCAATTGAGCAAATTAGAACTTTTTTAGATATAACAAATTAGAACTTTTTCAGTTCAGTGTTTTTTGTCTTGAATTGTGTGTGATTTATTTTATTCTTTAATTAGAAAACGAATCTATGATATCCGTGTAGAAGAATCGTCTGATTTCATTTATAAGGTAATTGAAAGAATTCTATTTATTCTAAACTTTTGGTGGATTTTTTTCACTAATTTAAATTTTATTTTGTTTGCATAGAGAACAGATCAAAACCAAAGGTAAGTACTTTTAAATATGTATACTTATCATTTTTATTGAAAATTAAGAAATATGTATGGATTTTAGAGTTTTTAGGAAATTAAATGGTAATTTCAGCAATGAAAAGGGAAAAAAATATCAGGTAACCTAAATTAAAACAATTACAATTTAGCGGGATATCTCTGCAAAAAATGGTCACCACAAATCAATACAAAAATGTACTGGTATCAATATGAATTTTTTAACATCACTAAGATATCGCATTAACATTGTTGATATCATTATTACAGTAATGATATCACTACTGATATATACATGACAAGGATGACTTCATTGATATAAATGCTCGTCAACACAACGGCAATAATATCAGTAATGATGCCACCACGAGTCAATACCATGTTACTGATACCATTATGGATGTCAATATTTTAACAACACAGTGATGATATCATCGTTGGGATCAACACATAATGTCAACAAATCATAATAACGCCAGCATTGCTATTTATCAACTATTATGACGACAACACCGAGGTCTGAGTCCTATGCAGATGTCCAATTTCTTATGTTTATTATTTTATTTACTTTTCCAAGAAATAAAAATGTGCAGAATTACAATATTGAGTCTTAGAACTAATTTAAATGTCTTGAGGATATTTAATGTTCAAAACCATAAATTTTGTCACCACTTTAAAAACAATTTGCGGACCTTTGCAAACCTTGTTTTTAAATAGAAATGTTAAATTCTCAAACTAATTTATTGTTTCTCGTCTTCACTATAGTTTTATAGTTAATTATAGTTTTAAAACATCCGTTGAGCAGCAGACCCAATATTGGGTTCACGACTGCCAATATTCAACGCCGTAACCTTGTAATTTTTGACTCAATCCAGAATACATGGGAACTTCTGGATCAAGTATTGAAAGAAATTTGCCTTCGTGAAGGACTATTTGATGGAACTAACCCTCATTTGCGTTACACGGAGAGCTAAACCAAGAAACCCTCTCACATTTAGTCTCATGGAAGGGGACCCTAATCTATGATCCGTCTACCACTGAGGATATTTTATGACAGCCCTGTGGTCGGTGCAAGACGGGAGCAGAATTGCGGAATTCGCATCACTGGGAATCGAACCCGATTCACCACATTGGAAGGCGAAAGCTCTATTCCCTGAGGCACGGCGGCTATACAACTGTAGTTTGAATATATCACACTTTCATTATTTCAAATATTGAGTCTCTCGAATATATCACACCGCTTTTCTTTAATTGGAGCTCCTGAGGGCCCGCCTAAAATATTTTAGTGTTTTTGAACAGCTCGTCAAAACAGTTTGAAGTTTTCCAAACTTTGCAACCACTTTTAATATAGAAAATATTCAGCTAGCATGCATCAGACTATTATTTATGCAGTAAGTTTCCAAATTTTTGTTGAATCATTTGATTATAATTTTTATATTTATAAATTTTTTTTTTTTTTTCTGACCTTTAAGAGTTCCACCTATTGAGAATCGGCACGAACTTTACGAATGATCCAATAATAACTCAAGTATTGGAAAAAAAATGAAAATATTCGGTTTATAGTTATCAATGTAGTTGTAATATCACTACCGCTAGAGGAAAACGTTCTTCAAAAAGTGTAAATGTTGGTACTGTATCAGAGATGCCAACTTGCTCCGAATAGCAAATATAAATTTTAAAGTGGTAGTTCATGAATTGTGATTCTTGGTTTAATAAATTCAATTTAGCAAAATTTAATTTGTTGTTATTTGCCGTTTTTCTAATTATTTTGGCGTGTTCGGAGCAGTTGGCATGTCTGCTGTATATTCACTAAATAACGTATACAAATAATTTATAATTGATCAAAACGCTACCATGCAAAAAGTTTTCACAGTTGCAGAGAAGCAAACTAATGCCGATTTCACAAAATATTTTAGAAACGTTAGTGAACTATAAACTAAAAGTAGCAAATTTTCCGTTAATTTTGTTTTTAAGCGGTCAGCATGGCCTAACTGAAACCAAGAACATGCCTGCAAACTTTCACTCTTTCCGAGAATGGATTTTCCAAGTAATAGTAAGACAATTAACGAAAAAACAATCTTACTCAAAAACATATATATATTTTTTTATAATTTATTTACATTCTGTTTTCCAGGAAATTGATAGAAGTGGATATATTAATAACAGAACCAGAGGTTCTTATTTTTGAACACAAACCACAATTTATGGTACGTATTCTTAATTTCTTGGAGCCACTTGGTAAAAAATCTTACCATTTAAGTTTTTCTGGAAAACATGGATCAAAATTTTTCATTTTTAGTTTTTTTCGAGAAACTAACTTATTTGTTCATTATGATTTATTAGTTGTGTAATGTTTATAATTTATTTACATATATTTTATTTTCCTATAATTTAATGTATATACTAATATGCTTATTTATATATTTAATTTAATTTAATTGAGCTTATGTGTTCAGCACAAGGAATGGTTCATAAATTTAGTCTAACAGAAAAAAGAATAGAAGAAATAAGAAAAAGACATCACATAGGTACAACGAAGGAAACGGCGGATAATGAAAATTGTCTAATCACGGCCTGGTCTTATTAGGTGGCGTGCCGAATCTGGCGTGGGGGTGTTTGACAAAAATTAATTAGATTGAGATAGTATTTGAAAAGAGCTCACTTTAGTATTCTACAAGAAAGTAATACAAACTAGTTGAACCTCAAAATAAATTTCAAAGTAATATTTACACCTCATATTTAACACAACATATTATTTAATATTAAAATATTTTCTTAAATTTTGTAGTAGCTTGGGTATTTTAAGTTTTTATAATTATGTACTTCTCTTCTTACTTTACATTAAAGCTATAATAGAATAAATATGAGTGTATGGAATTCGAATTATCAGTGACCTGGTCATACTTCATAATAGCCCACATGTACTGACAATAATAACGGAATTAATTTTATAACCGTCGTTGAACAAGCGACCCAATTTTGGGTTTACAGCTACTAATATTCAACTTCGTAGCTTTGTAATTTTGAAATTACACATGTAATCATATATCTTGATAACTTGCAATCACAATTACAAGTAATTGATTACAGTAATTGGTTATGTAATCACGCTTACAGTTGTAATCAAAAATAAGAATGTTTGAAATCATGATTACAAGTAATTGATTACTGTAATTGAGTATTGTAATCATGATTACAGTTGTAATCAAAATTTGTAATTATGATTACAAGTAATTGATTACTGTAAATGAAAAATGTAATCGATTACATTTTTGCTCTTCTCTGATGTAATCAAAAATTATGATTACTTGTAATCACGATTACCTTTAATCGTGATAATCTTTTCGTGTATTTCTTTTTCTGTCTCGAAGGATTTATTGTTCCCGATGACAGTAAACCTTTTCCAAATTATACTGAGTAACAAATTTGTTTGCATAGTTGTAGTTTACGTCATATTAGAGATGCACCTGCACAATGGGCTATTCGCGACTGTCTGGAAAATATCCGTGCAGAGGATACGGAGACAAGTCATCACAATTTTGATCCTAGACAGAGTGTAAGGCACCAGCACTTCGGTAGCCTAACGACCTACACACGAAGACGAGGTCTTTAAATTGGAACAGATTACCGAGGACCAATTATTGACATCCTCGGTCCCGTCGCAGAAGGATCCAAATTGTCACCCAAACGCGTACTAACCGCAACCAGCGATGCTTGACTTCGGTGTTCTCCTGGAAACAGCGTCTTAACGATCAATCCACTACGACAGGACTTGCGTGGTTAGAGATTCCTCTAAATAATAAAGAGTATTTCATTGTTCGTGTAATTCGAATGTCTTTTTGAATTCATGTTCTCATTAAATATTTGTTTTCTTACCTGTTTAAAAAGTATTTCTTTCGTAAAAATAAATATTATTTTTTTCAAATGAGAATTAATTTGTTTCTGTTTTTGTTTATAGAATGTTGAGCTCTTCAGCACCATTGGTGGATTTTTAGGCTGCTGGCTCGGGATATCTACATACACGTCATTTGACTTTCTGCTCACCTTGCCGCGTTTGATACTCATAAAACTGAAGAAATGGTTCACTAAATTTGCTGTTTTACACGATGATATGTAGTCACACGTTTCATAAATTCGAAACTCTGAGAAAAACACTTTTAAAAAAAGTATGCACAAATAAAGTATATCTGCGCATCGAACTATTGTAATCATATTTATTTAAATAATAAGTTAATATGAGACTGAGATTATGAGAACAAATGCATAGTTTCTCGTTTTAACTATCACTTAAATGAGTAAAAGTCAGACAAAAATATCTATAGTGGGCAAGATTAAATGGACCGGACCTGAATAACTTTTGATCTAATTCACGTTCTAGGACTCAATCTTAATAGCTTGAGGGGGTGACCTCAAATATGCTAATAAGTATAAACGATATTTCAAGCAACGAAATCAGCCACAAAAATGGACCTTTTCTGAATAAACATTTTTTTTTTTCAGATGGATTTTTAACCCCCATGCAATGTGGGAAATATGGCCACAATAGTTTGGTTAGGAGAGCGCTCCGAAGTTCAGACCACTTAATGATAATTTTACTTTTTGCGTATTTCGCTATATCTCGAAAAATTTTAGGTGATTTGAGAAATGTTTACACACAATTATAAAATTCGTTTATCCAAAGATAATTCCATGCAAAAATTAACTTTTAGTAATTATTAGTTATTTTTTTGAAATTTTATTTAAGAATGGTAAAAAAAAATGAAATTTGAAAAAAATTGAATTCCACCGCTATTTTTGCCCCATTTCAAAGCATGTAATTTTATGTTGCATATGTACAGTTCCCGAAAAATTGAAATTTAAGTATCTTTTTTCGATTTGAAATTCAATCTCTCAGGAACTATTCGACCGATTTTACCTTCCTTAAAATACTGTAAGAAATTGTATACCTAACGATACAAAATCTTTTTAATTATTCTTAAGCAAATGATGCATATTTGGTAAAATTTATTTTTTGCAAGAAATTATCTTTGAGTGAGCGAATTTTATAATTGGGTATAAAAAAATTTCAATTTACTTGAAAAATTCTCGAAATACCGCGAAATTTGCAAAATTTAAAATTAACGTTGAGGGGTACAAAATTTGGAGCACTCACCTGACCAAATTATGGGGCCCATATTCCCCAAATTGCCGTTACCCCCTATATTTTGGGAGTAAGAAATAAAAGTCGGTAGAAAAAAAGGTATGTTCATACGGAAAAAGATCGTTTTTGTGTTTCATCTCTTTACTTAAAATATCGCCTGCACTTATAAGTTAGCATGTTTGAAATCACCCTCTCGTATCATTAAGAGAAGAGTTCTAGAACGTCAATATCTGATCATTATATCAAACGTTATTGAGGGTAGTCCGCTTTTTTTCTTTTTATTTATTTATTTATTTGATACACTGTACAGATACCGAACTTCTACGACGGAAGATGCATCTAATGTAATGAAAAATGCCTTCTAATGTAGGACCGATATAAGGTTACTAAATTTATGTTGCTGAACTTCGAACTGAGGAAATGAGGGGTCCCGTATAGGTAAAAATATGTACAAAATATAAAATCATTGATATCACAGCTTGACATATAAAAACATAAGCTTAAAATAAGTTATGATTTTTTTAGTATGTCATTAGTGGTGGTTATGGTAAGTGAAACACAGTTTTCGAACATTTTGTACATACAAAAAGTTTGAAACAAAAAAAATCTGAACTTCTTGATTTATATCTTGAACTTCATCCATAAAAAAAATTATCAATAATTTCAAAAATAATGTTCTAAATGTTTTAACCATTATTATATTCTTGCTTCAAGAATCAGATGCATATCCCTATTACCTAAAGAAGGAATAAGCATGGCATACTTGATGAAGCATATAAGTTTTTTGTGTGAACTATATTTTTGTAAATGCATCGATTAATGAGATATCTTCTGACGTTAAGATCTGTATGATTGGTAATCACAGAATAAAAAACCGAAGCCATTACATCCTTGAGATTTATTGAAGATTATAGGCATGCGTTATAAATGTTGAACAAACATAATAAGGTTGATTAGAATAAGTTTTGGTGAATAAAAATCATTATAATTTGAAAAACATTAAAAGATTAATAAAGACTAAAAAATAATAATAAAAACTAGTCTGGAAACATCTATCTGAAAAATGTTGCTTGAATTCACTGAAAGTAAAATTTACTATTGGTTTTTTTGGTAACTGACAGTGTATCACCATAAAAATAACAACCGTGGAAAATGTACGCATTATTATGAGAAAAAAATTATTGGTAACCTTCACAACATTCATAAGCTCCCTTTTTTGTACCTTCAGGGCAAATACAGTTTACATACGTTTTAAAAAAAAAACTTTCTTAAAAGTACAGCTTGCTCCTGGACCACAAAGGCAGACTAGACATATAAAAATAATTATTTTTAATTTTATAAAAAATACTTCGTTATTATATACTATCAAATTAATTTCATTTGCATTCTAAAAACTATTATGTCTAAAAAAACTATTATTCGAAAACTGACTTCTTCAAAAATTTAATTTTAGGACGGATCTACACTAGCTATCTTAGCATGGGTTTAGTAAGGTCAAAAACAACACTAGAAATATATATATATATATATATATATATTTAATAAAGCAGCCAAATTAGCTTCAGCGAAATGAAGATAAATATTCTGGCAAAAAAATTCATTTAGAATTTCGCAGAAAATTGTTTCTGTTTTAATTTTATCATAAAGCTATTCATTTTTACCTTTTAAAAATATGTGGAATTTATAGTTTACCTTTGCAACGATTAGAATCATAAAGTTATTATTCTGTTAAGCAGACACATTTCAATACACCAGAAGAATCTCTCAAACATTCTACATTATCACACATGCAATCTGGAATAAAACATACCTTTTGATAATAAAACAACTTAGGAGACTTAGTCTAAGTAACGATTTAGTGAATTAGTGCCAACATGCTTTAACAATAGCAGCAAGTTCTTTACATGGATGGCATCTTTTCCCTACATGAAGACATCTTATTTATTGACCTGGTGATTAAAAACTGAAATTCTATATCAGCAGTTGTCCATAACACCATTTTAAGCTAGACTTTCGTTCTTGTTTTTTTCAAGAATTTAACTTTAGAATGTTACAAATGAACCGTCTTTTACTAAGATACCGTTTCCCCACAAGTCTAGCTGCGCGGACTATCAAATTTGCAGATTAAAAAAAAGAGAAGAAAACTCTGAGACGCACTAACTGTTAAATATATAGAATAATTCTACGAATAAAAATTCGTAACTGTCAGAACTCTGAGAAAACTCAAAAACATGTGATAGAAGTTTTAAAAATAATAATAATAATAATAATAATAATAATATATATATATATATATATGATAAAATGTAATTTCTACACTTTTTGTCCTTAAGAAGAGAGTGTGTTCCAGACGCAAGTGCGTGAACGCAGGTGCAGTGATTATTTCTTATATTATTTCTTACATTATTCTTTTGTTGGCAACATATTTTATATATATTTTGTGTACACTTGTGATAGTAAAAGAGTTTGTTAGATGAGATACTTGTTTTAGTGTTGATTATAATTAGAAAACATTTACGTTTATAACCAACACATTTTGGTGCCGAAACAACTCGGTTTAAAATTAAGTACGAATCAGATGAATAATTTACGCAGTCACTCTTTTAAAAACTAACGAAACGTCAAACATCAGTATTACTCAATGATGGAGAAACAAAACGAAAAAGAACTTGGCGATAGTCTGGCACTTTTGAAAAGAAAAAGAAGAACAGTGCGAGGTAATGTTACTCGATTTATTACGCAATTAAATTCTGATCTTTCTGCAACCTCTGACACTTTAAATGAAAATGTCGAATATATTAGTCATCGGCTTTCCGATTACTTGTTAGAAATGAAGAAATTGGATAATGGCATTCATAGTTTATTAACAGATGGTGATTATGACAATGATATTATTCAAATTGAGGAATACGTGGATAATGCCGAGCTCTCTATCTTTAAAGCAAAAAAAAATATTTGGTAGTAGAACTAATTTTGAATCTAATACGTTGCAATCGCCAGAAGTAACCGTTTCTTAAATACCTGTTACACAAGTACCCGTTATGCAATTACCCGTTTCTCAATCGTACACAGTGAAACTTCCTACTATTAAACTCGATACTTTTCGAGGTGATATTGAACAATGGCAGTGTTTCTGGGAACAATTTAAATCTTCTATTAACGATAATAATAGTTCATCATTAATTGATAAACATGAGTTTTTGCGAGGATATTTAGAAGATGAACCAAGACGTTTAGTTGACGGAATCAGTGTTAGTGCCGACACATATGAAACTACAAAAGCACTTTTTCAAAATCGATAAGGTGACAAAAACAGAATAATTCAAGCACATTTAGACTATTTGGAAAATATTTCGCCAATACGTAATCCCACTCCTATTGCATTGAATGAATTATTTATAGAATGCAACAGAAGACTAAACGCTTTAACGGCTTTAGGGGAGGATATCAACTCTTACGGGCGCCTTTTGGCTCCAAGCATTTTACGTGCCTTTCCGGATGATATTTGTCGACGATAGATTATTTACGCAAAAAGAGAGAAAATATCGGAAGGTGATATGAATAAACTAGTGCAATATTTATCTGAAGAAGTAGAAGGTGCTCTCACAACACTAAAAATTCGAGGTGAGCAAAACTTTGAATACACATTTAAGACATCTACAGCAGCCTTGCATGTGAATTCTAAGAAGACTAACCTGACTAAAAAACCATCTCCATTTTGCGCCTTCTGTGAAATTAACGGTCACTGGCAGCAAGATTGTACGAATATAACTGATATCGATACCCGAAGCCCAAAATTAAAAACCTCTGGTAGATGCTTCCTGTGTACTAATCGTGGCTATAGAATAAAAAATTGCCTTCGAAAAGATAAAGCGTTCTGTATAAGATGCAAAAAGAAGCACCATGTCTCTATTTGTAGAAATAACAGTTCAAATCAACCTAGCCACTCTATTTCTACAAATAACACAGATACTCGTACACCTAATTTTACTCACTTACAGACCGCTAGAGTATATATAACTGGCCTAACTGGTATTACTAAGCTT